GATTAGCTTTAGGACTTATCCCTTATTTTTTAACCAAGCCACATTACAACCTTAAAAAAAAGCCCTTGTGATTCTTACATTTGTGTATGAGCATTTTTTGTCCCTCACCTTTGTGTGTTCTTCATCTACCGATGAATTTTTACTAGGTGTGATTCATTATTGAGCTTGTTTTTTTTAAGAATATTTAGTATGATTTTTGTACTTAAGATTCATTTTATTTACATGTTGTCGTTGTAGGATTATGGTAAGTATTTACCTTGCCTGTACGTTTTTGTTTGAACCATACATTTGTTTTCCGTTTTAAAACTTGTTGCTTCATGATTCTTTGGTTGATTACTTTTGGTTCTTTAAGTTTTTTGGCCTTGTTTGAGGATAAACAAGTTCAAGTTGAGGAGATTTTGATAAGTGAAAATTGTAGTTAGTTTTGTATATACTTTTTGTTTCACTTATTGACTCTTTGTTGTTAATATCGGTTGAATAAACCCGACTTTTGTGTAAATATGTTTAGTTTGTGTTTATTTGTGTTTTTGTGTATATAGTGTACTATTTGATATTTTTCCATTCATTTTGTAGGTATTTGTTATATTTTGGAGCATCGAGGAATAAGGTGTCGAAGGCACGGCTCCGGATGCGCATTTTCGGAATAAAAGACCAGTTTTGCCCAGGAGAGCTCGCTTAGCATGCAGAAGGAGGCTAAGCGCGAGTGTGCTCAGTTCATTTTTTAGCGCGTTGCTTGAATTTTGACATTTTGGCAGAAGCATTATTTTGAAGCTCGCTTAGCGTGGATAGCGCGCTTAGCGCGGTTTAGATCAGTTTGATGTGTAAAATAAAGAAGTCGCGCTTAGCATGCAAGGCTCGCTTAGCGTGGTCTGCTGAGATTTTTTTTATAACTTTATTTCATTCATTTATTAGGTTATGATTTTGGGAAAGTTTTTTCTCGCAACTCCATCAACCTCTAATTTTGTTAGGATTATCTTAGATAACAACTATGGAGCTTGTATACGGATGATCCGGGGTGGATTACTCTTCGATCAGCACTGACAAACCAGTAGATATATGGTTCATTTATCTTTTTCTTTGTGTATTCTCTATTTTTTGGGTTTGTACATGTATTTACTTTGATCTTATGTATATTTGTCTCCCTTAGCGTTATATAAAACTTTTTTTTACAAATCTTTGTCGATTGTTATCCTTGATTTTTGCTCTGTGCTAGGGATTTGAGTTACTATAGACATATACTGCTTAAATTCTTATTTAGGATGATTATCTAATAGTGTATGAATTCTAGAGATAGATTTAGTGTTGTTATTCACTTAGGGTGTCTGTGATTAATGCCTCTGTGTTATTTGTGTTGCTTTGAAAGATCATCGATGCAAGCGAGTATGGTTGACTTATGTGTTGTTAAGGTTGGTTGAGAGATCGTCGCCGAGGTGTTACAGTGGGCGTTGTGTTTGACATGTGATGACATCGATGAATATTGTAGGTTTAATATAACTAGTCGATAGGTTTAATTATGTGAGAAGTAGTATATACGCATGCTTGATAAGTTATTCCTTTTTCCTTTTTATAGATTTATTTTCTGTTGATATTTTTCCTTTCAACCCATTTAACCCCACACTCATTAACAAGAGATTTGTCGAACGATATTTCAGTTCACCAATCTCAGTGGACATGATACGATATAACCTAAATATCACCCGGTAAAATAATACTTTACTATTTGCTTGCCGCTATACCGCTTCCAGTAGTGATCCCTCAAAGGAAAACTTAAAAGTAGGAGAGAGTAGAAGATATGACCAACTCAAATATGTGATCTTGATGTATTGTGATGATGTGAAATGATGAAGGATCTTAGGAGGAAAATCGGGGTATAACACATGGTAATTTGGAGAAAGAGATCTATATGAAATAACCCGATGATTTTCAAGTTAAAGTCAAAGAAGATCATCTGGGTAGATTGAGAAAGAGTCTATATAGGTTGAAGCCTGCTCCAAGGTAATGGTATAAGAAGTTTGAGTCTATTATGTGTGATCAAGGATGCCTGAAGACTACTTCAGATTATTACGTCTTTGTAAGAAAATTTTCTAATGATGACTTCATTACCATGTTGTTATATGTCGATGATATGATCATCACATGGGAGAAATATTTATAACATTAACATGGTAAAGAAGCAGTTGGAAAAGTCATTTACCATGAAAGATATGGGAGCAGCTAAATAGATTCTTGACATTAGAATCATTTATGAGTTAAAGGAGAAGAAACTTTAGATGTCACAAGAATATTATATCGAAAGAGTGCTCCAAAGATATAAAATAGAAATTTCTAAGGCAGTAAGTACTCCTCTTGGTACTCATTTCAAGTTGAGTTCTAATCAAAGTCCTTCAAGTAGAGATGAAGCATTTGACATGAAATATGTTCCTTATGTGTATGATGTGGTTAGTTAATGTATGCAATGATGTGTACAAGACCAGATATAGCACTTTTGTTGGTACAGTCGATAGATTTTTGCAAATCCAGATAGAGAGTATTAGAGTGTTGTTAAATGGATTTTAAGGTATCTTCACAATTTTACTTATGTGAGGCTTTATTAAAACATAACAATTTGATTATTTTAACTTCATGGATTTTTTGAACAACCGTATAACTAACCAAAGTAACCATTCTAAAGGTGCACCATAATATTTGTATCCAACCCTGTGGCGAAGAGGAATACATTGTGAGTCATCTGACTTCCTTCCAGTATGTAGAAATTGAGGGAGAGGTACATGAAATTCCCTTTCGGGCGTTTGAAACTGTACAGAAGGTCAATATTCATGTATCAGTGCGAAAGAAGAAACCTGGAACTTCCATGTCTTCCCTCAAACATGCAAGGGCAGTGATAGAAGTTGGCTGCCCCGAAGGTTGGGGTCAGGTGGTGGATGTAATTCTGAGTTTAACAAATTTGGTTTGGGTTTCAACCCCAATCAACAGAGTGCAGCTCCTCGAGTTCCAAGCTTATCAACTCCTGTGAAGTTCTCTCGTGCTGATACGACCCAAGAGGGACACACCAACGTCAGTGATGATGGAGACACTGTTTATAATATTGATGATTGGATACGACTAAGTGTTCCAGATCAAGAGCTCAACAACTGGACCTCTGTGGATGTAAGCGCTCAAGAGTAATTTTCTTGTTTTCTTTCTTATCATGTCATAATTCATACGTTTTGTCTAAGGCGTAGTGGATCATTGTGTAGGGCCACCGTGTTTACATTTTCAAAAGTTTTTCATAAATAAAGGATGTTTTTGCATAAAAATATTATGTTCCTTTTCTCACTATTTTTATTTTCTTTAAATGACAATTTTTTTTTACACATTATCCATAAAATATAAAAAACAAATTCATGCAGATATACCTTCACCACGGATTCCATCAATAACAATTCTGTTATCGCTCACTATGACTTTGATAATCTGATCTACTAAGTAGATGAGAAAGTGTATGAGGATTGTGAACTCCAAGAAGAGTTAACAAGATTGTTGAAGCAAGAAGAGAAAGTTATCCAGCCGCATCAAGAGTCAATAGAGGTTGTGAATCTCGGAATCGTGGAAAAAGCAAGAGAAGTCAAGATAGGGGCTGGTCTAGAAGAAAGTGTAAAAGCCAGATTGATAGAGCTGCTTCGAGAGTATTCTGATATTTTTGTTTGGTCTTACGAAGACATACCAGGGTTGGATATAAATATTGTGGTGCACCGTCTGCCTCTAAAAAAAAAGTTAAATCTTATTTTTTAATATTTTTCATTTTCGGTTTTGGTTCGATTCAGTTTTAGATTCAGTTCAGCTCGATTTCAATTTCAATTCGGTTATACGACTATTTATATAATATGATTTGATTCACTAATAAAATATAACGGTTTAATTATTTTAATTTCATGAATTTTTTGAACAGTCGTATAACTAACCAAAATAATCATTTTAAAGGAGAATTAAAAATTTTAGATGACCGTTGATATAAAGCTTTTTCCTTTCCAAAATCCAACGATATTTTTAAATTTGGGACTTTTGATGGAGGGTAATTTTTATAAGCCGTACCAAATATTGTTTAATAAATGAGATATAGCCACGAAAAGCAAAAATAGTCAGGCTACTGTCAAGACATTCACAAATGTGTTCATAAAGCACTTCCAAAACAAAAATTGTTGGAGCATAATAAACTTGTGGAACTCACATGAATTCTAAATAAGATAGTGTACTTATAAGTAGTTAGAAACACCATAAAAACTTATATTCTAAGTAGAAGTACAGTATTCTAGTTAGAATTCATGTGAATTCCACAAGTTTTAAAAGGGGGCCTATAACTGTGATTTCAACTGCAACATCACAATTTTAAGTTATCTGCAGCTGCAACAACTAATGGTATGTTTGAATCCACATTGACACATTAAACCTCATGTCCCAGTGTATATTGAAGGTGAATATCCCGAAAATACAATGTTGAGCTTGTCAGCAGCCAAGCTATTTCATGGCAGTTTCACAAAAACTCAGACATTGATCCAAAAGTACATTCAACATACATATACATAGTGAGATTTGATGTGTCAATGCAAATCCGTTCAAACCATTATCCATAGATCTTTCAGTATCAAAGGTTTTAGCTTCAACCTTAAACCTTAACTTCATTACAAAGACTACTATGACTTTTATTAATCTGTACCAAAATCATATATTCATCAACCCAAACAATTTTTATGTATCAGGTAAGGGGAGATATTCAACAATTTTTACATGAAGGGGAATCATATATTTATCAATACAAACAATTTTTATGTAACAGGTAAAGGGAGATATGCAACAAATTTTACATGAAGGGGAATCATATATTCATCAATACAAACAATTTTTATGTAACAGGTAAAGGGAGATATGCAACAAATTTTACATGAAGGGGAACTTTAAAAGCAACCATACTAGTCTCTAATCTCATTGCATGAAATTCTGTTCAACATGACACTTGCTATGGATCAAGGTGAGCATTGCGGAATCACATTGTCTTCATCCATGTCACTCCCAAGCCTCTCATTTGCAATCTTGGAATCATTATCATCATTTGCAATCTTGGAATCATTGTCATCATTTGCAATCTTGGAATCATTGTCAACATTTGCATCCACCAAATCACATTCTTCTCCATCCATGCTACTCACAGACTTCACACTTATAACCTTGGAATCATTATCATCATTTGCAATCTTGGAATCATTATCAACATTTGCATCCTTGGAATCATTATCAACATTTGCATCCTTGGAATCATTATCAACATTTGCATCCTTGGAATCATTATCATCATTTGCATCCTTGGAGTCCTTATCATTTGCATCCACCAAATCACATTCTTCTCCATCCATGCCACTCACAGACTTCACACCTATAACCTTGGAATCATTATCATATGCATCCTTAGAATCATTATCATCAGCTCCATCCATACCACTCACAGATTTCTCATTTGCATCCTTGGAATCAATATCATTTGCATCCTTGGAATCATTATCATTTGCATCCGCCAAATCACATTCTTCTCCATCCATGCCACTCACAGACTTCACATTTACATCCTTGGAATCCTTATCATCATTTGCATCCGCCAAATCACCGTCTTCTCCATCCATGTCACTCACAGACATCTCATTTGTAGCCTTGGAATCATTATCATCTGCATCCTTGGAATACTTATCATTTGCGCCCGCCAAATGACATTCTTCTTCTTCTTCTTCCATGTCACTGGCAGTCTTCTCATTTCCATTGGGCGAATCACTATTAAATCCGTACATCGAATCGCTATCATTTGCACGCATCGAATCGTCATCATTTGCATATAGAGAATCACTATCAGTTGCTTCAGAATCCTGTGTGTTGCCTATAGATTTTTCTCTAGAAGCTTCCTCTTCAGTTTCCAGAACACTAGAGAACCAGGTTGTACCTTGTTTTGCATAAAACAGCATGTATGCCTCTTTAGCCAGGACATGTTCTTTAGTAACACTAAAAACCTGAAAAGGAATTAATTATCAGAAAATTAATAATTCACATTTGAGCTAATTGATTATAACAAAACTACTATAAACATTCATTAAATAGGCAGTCTACCTGCAAAATAAACTTCTGAGAAAAAAATAAACATCGGATTTATAGCAGTAAATTACATTTGCAAAATTTAAAGCATCAATGCAACTTATAACTTTTCAAAAATCACTTGCTCTAATTAAACAATGTAAGAGTCAATCAATGAATCATATAATGACTCATTTTATTTTCAAACAGAAACCATATAAATATGTAAAACAGGAAAGCTATACTATAAGAAGAAATTTCCATTGATACTTTACCTGAGCGTCATCCATCAAATGCCAATTCTTTTCATCAGAACGTACATAGCTAAAGTAATGCCCTGAATTAGCTGTGGATCCTCTATGCACAACAACCGCGTATAGATCGTACACCAAATTTGGCTGTTACATAAAAATGAGTCAAAAAAACATCAGATTTGCATGGAGAAATTGGAACAGCTCTTACAGTCTGAACTGCAATTGCAGCCTAATATAAATGTTTGGAGTGTAACCACAATTTAAAACCATAATTGGATGTAACACAACTGAAATACACGCGGAAAACTTGAAAAATATGTAGGAAGGACTAAAATGAATTCTGAACTTACACTTTCCCTGCCTTTAGTAGAGGTATAAGGCTCCAAATCCAACTCCGTAGTGAAATAAACATGACCTGCAATCTTTCCATACGAGGTTCTCTCTTTTTTAAACCTTTTCAAATGTAGTACTGCAATTTCTGGTGCCTTATCAATCAAAAGCTGTTTCTCCATGTATACTTCTTGGTCGCAGTTACTACATTTAAACATCCTATCCATTTTTTCTACCATGAAATAAGCATCCAGAGCCCTTTCAACGGTACTCACGTGATCTACCGCTAAACCCAAGTCAAGTATTGGATCAACGGTATCAGAAGAGAAACCACAGCAGCAACACCGAAGCTGAATAATAACAAACATCAAAATAAGAAGACAAAATCATCTATGAATAACTAAAATAAAAAAGAATTAATGTTCGCATCATACTTGGCTAACAATTTTGCCTCCAAATACTTGTTCAATTAGATTATCTCGACCTTCTTCTGGAAAGGCACTTTTTAGTTTATTCAAGGCGCCTATCAGAAACTCGTGTGCATCCTCCTGGTTATTCGCTACAAAATCATCTGAAAATTCTGTTACCATATATGTCATGGATCACAATTCATATTTCATACCACAATCAAACTATTAAAGTGATGAATTTCCACAATTAGCAACCATCAAAAAATCAAACTAAAAAGGAAAAAGGATACTGTTCACATTACGAAGAAAAATTTCTGGATGAATTGTGTTTCGATCAAGATCTATAGCGCGGTCATTGTGTTCACGGAAAGCACAAATAACACAGAAACGACCTCTACGACCTGAAAACGAAAATCAATTTCAACTTCCACATTAAAATAAATCAAAATCATGAAACCTATTTAATCTCAAAATAAGGAAAAAAATACAAAAAAAAAAAAAAAAATCCACGTACATGATGAAGTATCATGAAAGCAATTACGAATACCAGTCAACATTTGCCCAGTATGTGTTAAGCACTGAAGAACCGCAGCCATAAAACAAGTATTAATCAGATTCTCAATTCCAGCTCCCTTCAAAACGAATCACACACACACACACAAAATCGATTCAGTTCTTCATGCATGCATCAACAAATTACTAATTAATAATAATATCATCACAAACAAATAATTTTAATTAATAATAATCACGAACATGATGATAACGATGATAACGTACCACAGATCTTGATCGAGGTGTCGGAATTAGAACGTCAGTATTATCGTCATGATCAACGGAAACGTAACCATTGGAAGGGGAGACGACGGCGGAAACTTTACGGCGACGAAGATTCAATTCAGGAGAATCGAAACGGTCAACGTAATATGCATCAATAGCTTCATCGGTATCGATAGGATCATCAATATTGCTCGCAAGTGGAGGATAGATCGTGTTCAGCGGTTCCGGTTCATCGAAAATTCTCGCCGGAAAAAACATGTATAAATCGTCGCTGATTGGCGGTGGCGATGGAAGAGTGGAGCGAGAAGGACTTTGACGGTTGAGTTCTTCCAACGGCATCGGGTGATACTTGAGCATATCCTCGACGAAAGCGTCTGTGAATTCCTCGGTGATCGGCGGCGGCGGCGGCGGTGGCGGCGTAGAATCAGAAGAGTAGTGTTCTTGCATTGCTCTTTTGCGAGACTCGGAAGCAGGTTCGGGTGGTGGTTGAGGTTCGGAGTTGAGAGGTTCGGAGTTAACAGGTTCGGAGTTGAGAGGTTCGGAGTTAGTTAGTTCGGGTGAAGAAGGAGAAGATGGTTCTTGAACACGCATTTTTGGAAATAGTGAAATTGTAACTAACTTCGAATGGCTTTGATTTGGTGAATTGGGTTATTTATATGAAATGGGTTATGGCGATTAGAATTCCTCTTTTCTAGTGTTGTTGTTGTTCGTCGTTGTGAATGTGAGAGTGATGAGAGTGTGGAGTGTTCTACAGTGTTCAAAAACGAGTAATTGGAGGGAAAAAATGTGAGAGATGAGGTGTGTAACTGAAACGTTTTTCCGTTAGGTTCTTTCTAGGTCAAATAACTTCTTTACTACTTCAATTACTATTATTATTAAATAAAAATAAATAAATATTAAATTTTATTTCTAAAACATCACTCTTATATCTAGTTGATTTGTAAATTATTAAAGGTAATTCTAAATTATGAAACATCATTTTAAGATTTTGTATTTAATTTTTCAAAAATAGAAAAAATTGTTTTTTAATATCAAATGAAAAATTGGATGGTAGATCCATAAATACTCCTTCCGTTTTAAAATAAATATCATTTTAATAAATAAAATATATTTTAAAATGACTGTTATTTTTACTTTTTAATGTAGTAATTATTGTCATTTTTCTAATTATATCTTTTAATTTTTACTCTGGACAATACTTCTAATATATTAATGAGGTTAATTTTGTAAAAATGTAATGTCTTATAACAAAATTATTGTATTATTTAATATGTATGCAAAAACATTAAACGACTGTCATTTTAAAATGGAGAGAGTACAAGAATTAACTTGGAAAAGAAGTTTTATGCATGGTTTAATGTGACTTGTTTTTTTAGCAGGACGAATAAACACTACAAGAAAATAGGTGATTAACTAGGTGATTATGTCAGGTTATAATCACTTTGCAAAATAACGTATTTGTGGGGTGTTTTTCACCTTGCAAATCAGTTTTTTTTTATAAAAAAAACTTATATGCTTTTCTATCTCGCAACAGTGAGTAAGAAATTCAAAAATTTTAAAAAGAATGTTGCCAGGAGGGAATCACCCCGCAACTTTTTTTTTTTTAAATTGAGGAGAAATTAAAAATTGTATTTACTTATTGTTCAGGGAAGCAGGTGAATGTTATGAGCACTTTGTTGACACATAATGTTTCTGAAGTAACATTCACCCCGTAAATGTTTTTGAAAAAATTAGGCGGAAATTAAAAGCTGCATTCATTGAACGCTCAGAGTAGTAGGTGAATATTATGAGTACTTTACTGACATATAAGTTGCGATGTGCATTTCACCTCACAAGTCCCAACGGTATTAATATTTGCACGGTTATAAGCACGTCGCAAGTGTTTTATAAATATCATCACCGCTTCACCTTATTTTTCACTTTCCAGATTCAATATTATCTCTCTTTTCCTTCACTTTCCAAAAAACAGGTTTTTACCCCAAACTTTCACAACTCTCTCCACAAACACTCATATCTCTCATTTTTAGCACGAACTAGTAAGAAATTTGTGTTGTCGCACGGATCCCGTCTGAATTCACATTACATATATCAATGAGTAAATTGTTAAGTATGACACCATGTTTTCAGTTTGATAATATTAATATAGTTATAACTTAAATTATTTATCAAATTTTAATTTGTGTTTTGAATATCAAATATAATATAACTTATTTTGCATTTCATAAATATTCACATAATTTCAATTATATACTAATAATATTTACCAACTTTTAAATATTGATTCGTATTTATAATAAATCGTACAACTATTTTTATAACTTCAATTATATAAAACAATAACAAAAGAAATAATTAGAAGATAGATATTAAAATGATCAGTCAATAGTTGGTATATCATAGATACATTCATATCTAATCGTGAATCCAAATGAGTTAACAAACTTCAATTGAATCCAAATGAGTTAATTGTAAAAATTTATTCAATCTATTTTAGATATTAATCCATTTTTTCAAACCTAAAATGTATGACAGCCCCCGTCAAATTTCAAATTTACAAATCTAAAATGTATGACAGTAACCCATCAAAATTTAATAAACTATGTAAATATGCTCATGCAAATTTAGCATTAAGATTAAAATCAAACCTATAACTTAATCTTCAATAACAATCTTCAAAAAAAAATTATAATACATTTTTTGTAAAATGTTATAAATAATAGGCTTAATTGCAACTTTGATCCCTCTATTTTGTATTTTTTTCAATTTTGATCCCCCATTTTAAAAATCACTATTTTAGTCCTCTTTTTAAGTTTTATGTGCAATTTTCGTTCTCCTATTTTACCTTTCTCTACAATTTTAGTCGTTATTTTTATTCACTTTTTAACAGAAAATTCAAAAGGGGACCAAAATTGTAGTTTTTAAAATGGGGGACCAAAATCGAAGAAAAAAAAATACAAAATAAAGAGACCAAAGTTGCAATTAAGTCTAAATAAAAATATAAGTTAAAAAACTAAAAATTATCATCAATTTTCTATTAAAAACGTGAGAGTATACCAAAACTTTTTAAATTTAAAATAGAGAGACAATTTCCGTGAATTAAATAAAATTGAAGATTAAAATTGGAAAAAAAATAATTAAGTAGTCATACACCCGTGCGGTCGCACGGGTCACGCAATATCGTTTTAAATAATTATATTAAAATAATTGTATATTATTTTCTACGTCATAATAATAGTTACAATTAATGTATATTATTTTCTACATTTTTCAAAGAGACAAAACTTATTTTTGATGCGGTGATAAAACTTTATGTTATGTGTACTAATTAAATAAAATGATAATACATAATTATAAAGATGTAAAAATAATGATAAATTTATCTTTTTCATAACAAGTTTATGTATTTTTCTATTATAATTGTCTCATGTTCTTTTATCAAAAACAAATATTTATAACATTTTTTTAGTATAAATGATAATGTTTTATCATAAAAAAACACTAACATTTTTTGTTAAATTAAAATTTTAATATAATTTCTTATATTTTAATAGTAGTTTTAATTATAGTTAATATATTACTAAAATTTAAAAAGAAAAACTTAAATAAATTTAATAACAACAATCACATAAGTTTTGATTACTAAAAGTAAAATCATATTTAAAATTTTTAATTTTTGAACATTAAAAGTAAATCAGATTTAATATTAAATAATATTTGTTTTTATTTAATAATTTGAAATAAAAATAAGTCATATTAAATTAGAAGGAGATAAATATTTTCTTTTTTCTTATATCATATCATAATATTATATATGATATAATTTTTTCCGTCCATGATACTTTTTAAATAAATTTATAAAAGTTAATTTTAATATTATTCTTTTTAATTATTATTTCTATATCAATAAATTTTTTCTAATTATCATAATTTTTTTCTTGAATACCATTTAACATATTATTTTCATTAATCTCATTTTTCATTTTTACCATTATAAAGTTAATTTGAAAAGATTTTGTTTTGTTTTATTAATTTTATAAATTTAAAAAATATATAATTATAATTAAGAAATTAAACATAGTTAGAAAATAAAATAACTGTGAGATATTAATCTTCTTTATTTAAATAAATTATAATCTTTATTTTAGTTGGTTCCATATTCTTATTAATCTTTTCTAAAAATTTAAATAATTACAAAATATCTTTTATTTAAAGTTCATTTTAATTGGATTAGAATTAATGAAGATGATTGATTATTAAATTTTTAAGATTTTATTATCATCTATTCAAAACACTAACAAAATCACATTGAAAACAATAAATTAAATTAATTCAATTTAATGAATAACTTGCTATAAATATATGAAAGGTTTGGTAATCGGTTTTAAATTGAGAGTCGTCATCCTTAATTTTTATCTTTGAGAGAGGAATATCAAGGATAACCCTAATTTAGTCAGAGATTCTAAGTTGTTGGACTCGGTCTTAGACGAAGGGAAGGTGTTAGGCACCCCTCATCTACTTTGTTCACAATGATACTAGGATTTAGAAACGCAATCTTTAAGAAATAGGGTCTTAATTTTTATTAGGGAAACTCGTCTTGGTTTTTAAGTCGCATGCCTACTCTTATGAGGAATCAGAGTCTCAATTTATAGTTCAAAGTTGGTTGGTGTATTTTATAGATTACGAAGATGTTTTGAATTTCCCTTGTACTAAGTCTAGGTGTGTGAATAGCGGAGTTGTCAGTCGAAATTTGCAGTTGATTTAAAATCATCCCCATAATCCTTTTTGAAAATTGTTTTAGAATTAATTAAGCTATTAAAAAAGGAAGAATTTACGGTTGGTTAAGTATTTTTTTAATGTATTAATATGTAAAAAATATTTTTAATGTATGACAAAAATAATTTTAATGCAATAAAAACATTTGGTTAAATTAGAAAAAAAATATTTGATTTTTGATAATAATAGGTATTTTAGAAATTAAATATATTAAATATAAAAATACTAAATTTAATATAAAAATAAATAAAATATAAAATAAAATAATTAAAAAATGCATGGTGGATGTATTTTGTGTTGAGCTAGTAAAACAGGGGGGTATGGGAAGTAGGGCTCTGAATTCAAATACTAAATTCAAGCCCAAACGCATGAGGGGGTGAATAATTGTCCAGGTCAATAAAAGTGGGGGGTTTGGTCACCAATGGGCCCAAGTTCAGATATTGAATTGGGCCCAATAGCGCAGGGGGTGTACAAGTTTCTAACACAATAATAAAATAAAAGCATGGGTGGTGTGATTAGCAATGGGCTAGGCCCAGTGTTTGACAAACGTTTGGGAGTCCGTTTGGACTTTATGTGGGTGAGTGCACGGTGTTACAATGGGCGTTCGAATCAAGAGCGTTTGATGATGATCTAAAAGTTGTGATGTGGAGCGTGCGGTAAGGTTCATGGGCGCGCAGGCACAAAGTTTAGGAGTGTTTATAAAAGTAAATCACTGGGATGAGAGCCCATTTTTCATCTTCCCATCTCTCTCTCTCTCTCTCTCTCTCTCTCTCTACAATTCCCCTTCTCACTAAACAAAAACCTAGAGAGAGAGAGGC